CGACGGCCTTAAGGAGATTCAATCGGAGCACGGGCGTTACGGAAGGGAGCTAGTCCTAGTTTCAGTGAGCGAGTTGTGCGGGGAGATAATTGTGGTTGCTAGTGATGATAAGTGTTCTGTGAATAGGTGGCGTTTCTTGCAAGAAATGTAAGAGGGTTTTTTTGCAAAAAAAATTCAATAGTCTCGGAACGTATCCGGCCAAATTTAGATATCTATATGTATAATTATATTTATTATTACTATATAATTATATATTATATATAATTATATATATATATATAATATAGTAATAATATATAATATATTATAATATATCTATATATTAATATAGGTTAGTTATATTTGATTATTATGTGTATATATTAGTATTGTATGTATATATATTGTATATATTCATATATAGATATATATGTATTATATATAGATTATATGTATATAATATATAGATATATAATATAATATTTTATATATATAAATATACATTTTATATACATATATATTAGTTATAATATATTTATATATATATGTATATATATATGATATAATATATATATATATATATATACATATATATTATATATATCGATATTCTATATTATATATACTATTTTATTTTAATTATTATTTACATATTATATTTTTTATATATATAGTATATATATATATATATATTATATATATATTATAGTTATATATATATATATATATTATATATATATATTATAATGGTATATTGATATATTATATATAGGCAAATGCAGATTGGTATTTTTATAGAGGTTTGGTGCATGTTGAGTATATTTTCTTTTAGTTTTGTGATTGGTATAATTTTCAACGTCCCGGCACATATTGGTTAATTTGACGGAGTTGCTGTTCTGGATAGGGCTGCTTGGATTTTGCAAAAAAGAACCCTCTTCAATTTTGTGTTCTATTGTTCATCGTATATAGGGTATTCTTCAATGGGGCGAAGGGCCGGAGATCCGGATTTTCCCGCTGGGCCCGATCTCTCTTGAATGGGAGTCGGTTGATGTCTCGTCAACGGCTCGTGCGGAGATGTCTCGTGGCGGAAATCCATGGCTCGAAACGAGCTGGAAGCATCGACACTTCGTGTTCCACTCGTCCGTCAGTTCAACGACAACTCGTGCCGTATCCTCTCGCGCACGCCTCGTTCTCATCTTGTCCTCGATGGTCAGCTCTCCAACTGATTGTGTCAAGCCAATTGGATGGATCGTGCTAAATTCTTAATAATTCTTATCGCCTGCACACTTGAAGCAATATTTCTCATCCTTGATTGTGTTCGCTATGTTATAAGCATGTTCAGTGATTGCTTGCCTCCCACTTCTTCTTATGCTCTGCGTTAGGAGCTTGTACTTTCCGCGTCTGTATCTTGTCCGCTCTGCAAATCTTCTGATTTTGTGGTGAACGTCGTCGTCTGAGTTTGGCAGAAGCAACGCGGAGAAGGCGTCGCGGCCTGAATGAAGAAAAGGAAGTCCAATCGGAGCAGCGTCGTCGTTAAGAGAGCGGTGAGCTGGTGGCTAGTTTTGGCCGGCGTCGAGCTTGTGAGGGGGGGATATTGTTGATTCATTAGGGTTGGGATAAGGTGTGTGATGAGGGTGGTTTCTGAAAAAAAATTTTAAAGGGTTTTTTGCAAATATCGCCCACGGAACAGGTACTCCGGCAAATTTAGACTATATTAGCGGAGTTAAAAATTTATACTATTTGACAAACTATAAAGAGAAATAATACCAACATGTCAAGGATCTAAAAATATACCAATCTGTCCATTTGCTATATATATATATTTATATAATATTTTTTATAATATTATTAATTATATAGTATTGTTATATAGAGATTGTGGATGTCTATGTCAAGGAGAGATTTTCTGTTGAACCATATGTGGCCAATCTGCACGCACCTCCACTCCTCTCCTACTTTATAGAGGATGTGTGAGATTATGCAATAGGATTAGAGAAAATCCTCATTGACAGGATACCCATTAATTATTCTATGTAGGAGAGGGATTTCCTCTTGACACTATGTGGAGGACCATCCCACAACTCACACCTCTCTCTATTTATGAGGAATGTGAGGAATGGTGGAGATTGTGTCACATAGGCGTAAGGAGGTAAATGCGCCTCCTTGACAAGGTACCATTATCTATATATATAGATATAACTATATTATATATATATATATATAATCATATATATATATATATAATATTATAATATATATATATATATAACATTATTTGTATATATATACTATATATAGAGAGAGAGAGAGAGATGAGGAGAGAGAGAGAGAGAGAGAGAAGATATGGGTATGCTTGGTAGCAAGCATAAATTTTGTGCTTGGATAGTATGTGTGACATCTCATCTACTCATTACCCAGTAAATGTGGTCCTATATTTGAATGAGTGTGGGATTATAACATCATACCAGCAAGGCTTTTTTGGCTGGTAAGATACCATATTTATCATATTTATATATATATAATATATATTATATATATAATTATATATACCGCTCCTACGAAAGCACACACTTTTGTTGCTTGGTCGGAGATCCCATATTTCTATATATTATAATATTATATATATATATATATATTATATTATATATATATATATTAATTATATATAGTATATATATAATATATAATATATATTATATTATTATATATATATATATATATATATATGAGAAACTGGCCATGAGCTGCAAGCGTAGGCGGAGAGTGGGTGGGGGGGTGCGGGGTTATTTGGGAAAACCACTTTTTGATTCGAAGTCTGTACAGGTTGTCAAACCCCGACTCCGACCCCTTCCGCAATCGGATCCAAGAACTATGGCGGCAATTCCTTCGCCTCTACCTTCGATTTTGGCTCAGGCAATCTTAGGCAATCGTCTCCAAACCCATGTCGGCAACCAAACCTATGACCCCTCCTTCGAATCGACGGAAATCGCTCGTTTCAGCTTCGCACTTTGATTTCGGTCGAGGAGACCGGCCTCTCCCCAAATCCTCCCTCTCCGCCTCTCCCCAGAACCCCCCCTTCGAAATCGACCCCAAATCCGCTCGTTTCGGCCTATCCCACTTCGATTTCGCTCAGGCCAACCCACCGCCGCCGCTCGGACTAAGAAATCGGCGACCGCCGTCGCTCGTTTCGTCTCGTGAGGCCAACCCCGACTCCCCCTTTCGATCTCTCTTGACAGGTAAATTTTTAAATTCTCCTCTCTCGACCGCCCTCCTTTCTCTTACTGTAATGTTCTGTAAATTCTAACATTTACTGTTAAATTTTGAAATATTTGTTCTAGGGTTTAATCGAGTCGGAAAGGTGGGGTAAGGGTGTTGGGATCTACCTTCTTAAGCAAATAACGACACTCTTAAAAACAGCATGTTTATATAATCTCGATGGTAATTTTGGTAAAATATAGAACTGGATCTAAACAGTGAGACGGACATGAGATGGTTAATTGCATTACAGAGAACAAAAGTTGGCATTATAGAGAAATAAAACATGTTACAAACTTCTTATTCAAGGAACTTTTGAATGTTCCATCAGCGTAGCTGATATGAAGTCAGGTTGCCTGAGATCTCCCAATACCCTAAAGGGCCTTAGCAAATGACAAAGATATAACTTCATGCAGATCAACATCCAAACATGGAAAGGAAGGGAGTTCCTAACGTCGGTAAGGCTTGCTTATAATGCTCAGGAAATAACAGCTTGTTTAGATGCTACTGTTAGTACTAGTCGCCTTCCTTTGTCATTATCCTAGAGAGCAAGATAAGTTCATTGTCCAATCTCCAAAAAACTGATGCTTGGCCAATAGCACATCAAAAAATGATGTAAGAGAAGAATTGACCCCCTTCACCGCAGCCCTCTTTAATTTTGCCATTTTGTGGTGATGTATTATGTAATCCAAGTTCATTCCTCCACAGTCAAATGTTATTTTTGATTATTGATCCTACAGTAAAATTCATAAAGTATATGCTACTTTTGCAAATTTTAGGAAGTCATGGAAGCTTCAGTTTTGGGCTTACCAGTATTGTGCTTTAATTTTACCAGGTTTAATTAAAGCAAATTCATAAAGTATATGCTACTGCATGTTTGCAAATTATATGACAAAAAACACAATTACATCTTGTGATTGTAGCTATTTCCAGAGTCATGCAAAATCAAATGGATGTGATTTTATTCTTCCCTCAGTGGTAGCAATTACTTCTCGAATTTGGACTTATAATTTCTCTTAATTCCACAAAGAAATTAAGAGAGTTTTTACTGTGATTTTGCTTCAAACCATAATTTTTTAGGTGGTCCATGGCAAGAAAGAGTTTTTACATTGTGAAGAGAGGTCGATGATGTAGAATTTTTAATAATTGGGAGGACTGTCAAATGCAAGTTGATAAATTCCCAAATGCCGCATATAAAGGGTATGCAACGTACGAAGAGGCTTTGGTTGAATGGGATAAGCACAGCATTGCTTGTGATTCAGCATCCAGTACATGGCATGTCCAAACACCTTTTTATGTCCCGACACCTGATTCTGCATCGAGCTCAAGAACTACTATTTCCCACATCTATGCTTTTGCATTAGGTTCAGTGTTTACAATATTAGTGTTTGTAATATGTATCGTTGTCGTATTTATTTTTTTCTCTCTTGCAAAAAATATGTGATTGTGAGAACTTATGTATCGAGTAACTTATGTGATTGTGAGATTATGAGAACTTATGTATCTTATGAGAACTTATGTGATTGTGAGAACTTATGTCATATTGTTTGTACCAGATCAATAGCAATCTGCGCTGCTATGGATGTTTTATTACCTTACTTTAATTCTATATTAGAGATGTACTGTGGATGTTTTATTACTTTGGCTTCTTTCTAACCCTGCTATGGATGTGCTATGCCTTCTTTCTATATTAGTTATATTTAGCTGATTGTGAGAACATTATGTCATGTTTGATTAGGAAGCTTCTTGCTTCCTTCCTTGGTTAGTGGAATGGGAGATTTAAGCTAAACAACAAAGCAGAAATTAGGAGTTTCCTGCGAATATTCAGAACATAACATATCGGGGGGGGGGGGTATTTTAACTCAGCTTGTATCTAGAATTGGTGTCGGGACAAAGTAGTAGATACCGAGATTTGGGGGTTAAATCTGCAATGTGGTTTATTTGGGGGGTATGAGGTAAAAATCCTTAATTAATGTATTAGCACTTGCGTGTGTGATTTTGAGGGTTTTTGGAAAAAGGAGAATTGTCGGTTGTGTTTGGTTGTAGCTCTGGCTTATGTCTTCGGAGTTTTTGCTGGCCCACTGCGCTTAGGATGTATTGCTACATCGGTCAGCAACTCCAAGCCCAAGCCCAAGCTCATATTAACCGAGCTCATGACTTCATGCGTTGCCATCGATCGATTGGCTTTTCAACCAGAGCGGAGATTGCCAGAGTCTTAGGCTTCAACTTTGCGCTTTTTGATAGAGAGTTTTGATGATTCTTAGGTTGCATCGATAAATATGACTTGTGTTCTCGGCACCGATAGGCTTCATCTGAATGTGCTTCAGTTAACAGTGGTGGATCATCTCAGCAACAAGCAATCATCATGCCGATACTTGCGTACAGATGATCAACATGCCTTCAAGCTCTGTACCAAGCTATACAAAATGTGTGTACGAATGACTCCATTCAAACTAATATAGGAAAACATGATTATACAATGATACAACACAAATATGCCTCCAAAACTTTAGGATCAGATTTTTCTTTCAGATCAAATAACTTAACAAATCATGCCACTATTATCTATATCCAACAATCCAGAACCGCCTTTTTCAACAAAAAAGCTCCTGAAATTAGCCGTCAAAAATAATGATCAAATATGCTTACACAAAAGTAAGGCCAATATACAACAAAACAAAGATCCCCCTAAAATGCAAGAAAACGAATAAAGAGCCAGAATAAATAACACTTCAACACTGAATCCATATATAAACTCCTGCCCCTCTGTGCCTGAAACTTCTATCAAATTTTAACGGTCAAATAGCTATTGTTACATGCAAATATTCCATGAACTCCATTGAACTACAAGATCATTATCACAATTACAATTCACAATCAGTCTTAACAAATACAGTCTTAATACATATAAAATGTAGTAATATCAGCAGCTACAAGACAATCCAGCAAACAGTTGTGGATTGAACCTGAGCAACATCTACAAGCAAATAAATTGTTGTTAAAGTTAAAAACAAGTAAATAAAGCGCTGTTAAAGATTTGATACACAAAAATGCCAAGCAATTCATACGTACATTATATCATGAGATATGACTTTTTTTGAACAAAAATACAATCACCACCCGCTGCATAGTTTACCTGCAATTAATATGAGCAAATTAATCATGAGATATGACTTTGTGCTATCAAGTTTCGATAACTTATATAGGCTGTAAAACTGAATGATCAACGGAAAATTGTACCTTTTGCAAGCTTAACTTTACAAACTAGTTCTATAATGCCCGAGTTCACCACATCTGCTACATATCCGCTTTCTTCCTTTCTTCTTTTCTTGTGCCTATTCTAAACGTCTGGGACTGGATTCTGAGTAGATTTGTCGTGGAACGACCTTTAGTCCTTGCCCCAGCGGTCTATCAGTGTCACGAACGTTATCTGAGGAATGTTCTCTACTGTATGTGAAATGGTGCGGAATGTTGAGGAATATCCATAATTTGATCTTGAGTTCTCCAACTTCTTCTTCAAGTGATTCCATGAAAATTTGTTTAGCACATCATTCAAGTTGTTGCCGCAGCTTCTCTGAATCAAATGCAAGCCTCAAGCACATTATTGATTTTGCCTCATTAAGCCGCAAGATTTCAATAAATTAATTTTCTCTTCACAGCTGGTGCATGTTTCTTCCAAATAACAATATTGCCAAACCCTAATATTACGATGCCTTGCATGTTATGGTCCAACGGTGGTAGGATGTAGTGGTCGAGTAATGAATCCATTGCCTAGCCATCATTAGCCGATGAATATATGTGCTACATTACTAACCACCATTAGTTTCAAACCAAAGGCACAAGTGCAATAGAACTTGGATCTGCACCCGGAATTGTTCATAAGTAACACCTCCCATTTTCCTCTAATCCTGTTAAACTGTACGGACCTTATTCAACAATGTCCCTATCTTTCTCATTTCTTTCACAGAACTCTGCTACCAATCCTTTGACTTCAGTAGCGAACACATTCAAACATGATTGCCGATGTATACATCTTCTCCAGCTTGGATCTCAATGGATGTCCAACAGGAGCATAACCGCTTTGTGTTCAGCTCACTTAAAATCTTTCATGGTCTCACTTAAGCACGATGAGTTACTGCTTTTTTCATATTGTGGTCACAAACTGCGTGTAACTGGTCTTGTGAGTTTAACATACCCATTCAAAAAATGGATTAATACTTTCACTCTTCTGGCCGATCTCATTCAGCAAAAAAAGTATCTCTCTCTTT